CTTTGAGCCATTGCATAAATTGGAGGAGGATTATAATCATTTTAAAAGACAATGGAATATTCCAAATGCTTAGAAAACCCGTAATCATAATACTTTCTGGTTGTAATAAATATTACGTTTATTGAAATAAACAAAATTGCTTATCGTTATCATTTTGTAGTATAAATTTTTTTTTCGTTTGTAATTTTTTGTTCAAGTTACATGAATTTTTGTTCTACATATTTGTCTTGATAAAATATCCTTCATGACATTTTATAAATACCTCTAAAATAGGTTTAAATTCTTTTTTTATATTTTCAACTTTTTTTATTTTGCTTCGTTTTGAGATTATTTATTTGATTGATTTATTGTTACAAATAAAGTGTACTATAACTTATACGTAATTATATGCCTACATATACAATAATTTAATTACTTGGATAACACGAGTAGGAATTTTCTTGATAGTACAGTTTCTACACCAGATAATAAATTTCTTATAAATCTTTCCAAGTATTTCCATACAGATTTATTTACAGTAAAAATGATAATAAATACAAAAAACTGTTATAAAATTACGGCGAGGTTAAGTAGAAAGGAAATATATAGTAAGGAATGTAATGATATAATAATGAATGTCGTGAAAAAAATGAATGTCGTGAAAAAACATATAGTAAGGAATGTAATCATATAATAATGAATGTAGTGAAAGTAAAGCAAAATATGGCCTGTCCATTCCACTTCAATTAAATGTTAATTTACTGTATTTCGTATAATCAAATAAAATTTGCTTTAAATCTGCGATTATAATATTCCTACTCATGGTAGAAAGTCATGAATTGCAAGCAAATAAAGATTTCATCATCGGTGTTTAATTGGGCGAAAAAAAATACGATGCCAGAACTGGATAACACAATTTGAGTTCGTTAGCAATAAATATAATATTTTGAAGTTTCAAAAAATTAAACCATTTATATAATATACCCCTCGTTTTTTTTCTTCTAAAATCAATGTTAAAAGGGCTTCTGCCTCCCGGGTAGGAAGACTCCCGTACAGGTCTTTTTGATGTTGATTCAAAGAATCATATACTTTCTGTAATTCTGGAGGGCGCGTTATGCCTAAAACAAAAGTATCGATTTTATTTAAAAAAAACTCGATTATCTGCATTTTTATCTGCATTTTTTGTGTGTTTTTTTTTTTTTTTTTGCTTGATTTAGGGATTAATTTTATAATTTTTTCGTTTTTACATTTCTCAGTGTTACTCATTGAGTCTTTCTCATTGCTATACGTTGAAGTGCCAGTGTTTTGTCTAGAAGTACTTTCAATGCCATACACTGAACTTTCACGATCCATATTTCAGGCAAGAAGTCATTAATGAGACATAAAACCTCTGTTCATAAGTATAAAAACGAAATTATATTGAATTTTTTTTATTTAGTAACATAAAAATCACATGTTCTTACAATAATTCATGGATCTAAATATGTATGCGAAATTAAAGCGTGGATTACCATATATAGAAAATGTTTATTTCGCCAAAACGAA